CAGCGGCGGCTTCGTGCAGGGCCCTGTTCACGTCATGCGGTCAACCGTGCATTTCAACGAGCTGCACGGGCCCAGCGCAATGGAGGCGGGCTGCCTGGAGCTTTCCCAGTCCATGCTGCAGATTGACGCAGCCGCGGAGGTAGGCATCGCTCTGAAGAATGCAGCTTGCGGCTGCAACGCCACGCTCAGTGTAGATGGTGCATTGTCTGGCAGAGGTGTATCCTCAGCACTGCTGTCCCTCGAGGGCTGTGCAGACGAGGCCCTGCAGATTTCGCATGTGCGCTTTGAAGCGAAGGCAGCGGCTGTGGCAAAGGCACGCTCCCACACATTGCTGAACAATATCACCGTAGAGTACCTGCAGCCTGTTGCAGACAAGACTCCGATCCTGGTGTCGCCGAGCTTCCGAGCAGATGCGGTGGAGATTTCTTGCGCCCAGTGCGACAATGGCGTCACCTTCCATGAAGAAAGCGGCCTCTATGCGGTCAGTAGCTCGATGCTCAACTGCCAGCGTCAGGCCAGTTTGGTTAGCGGGCGCACGGATGTCTGCGATTGCGAGGGCCAACTTGTTGTGGACAAAGACTTCAGGCAGCAGCAAGTGGGCGTTGCACAAACCTTCGCATACTGCACCTATTGCCATCCGCAGCACGAGAAGCTCAACGGGACATGCCACAAGTGCCCCGTGCACCAGGTGCAGCGCATTGCACATCTTCCATGTGAAGAAAGTAGTTGCTGAGTAGTTGTAGTTGGGAGATGTTGGATGTAAACAGTTCGATCCTGCCATGTGTAGCCTCTGCCTTCAGTTTCTCAGCTCTGGAAATTTAGGGATGCACTTTCTCTGAGAGTTTGCGTCTTTGTCATGCTCACATCTTCGGAGGCGTGGTCCGGAGGAGAAGGAGAGCGGTGCAAGCTCTGGCCAACCTCCGTGAGCGTGCGCTGGTCACTGCTGCTTGCTTCGGCGGCCTTCGTGCTGCTGGCAGCTGGCGCCTTGGAGATCCTCTGGGCGCCTCTGGCCATCGTGGATGCCCACACGCTGGAGGGCAAGGGCAAGGACTTCGTGATCACTGTGCAGGGCCCCATTTGCCAGCTGCCCAAGAAGCTAGCTCAGTGGGTGCACCGCAGCGTTGCCTACAGATTTGAGGACACAGGGCTTCACTGGTTGCAGGCCGAAACAAAAGATTCTCCCCCGAAGCTGCTGAGCCTTGGGCATGCCAAGCTACAGCTCCCACAGCAGCTACAGCCACCTTTCACGTGCGCCACCAGCCGTGGCTTCCTGCAGGCAGCCGACTACCGGTGGCTGCTCTTCCGGCTTTGGCTCCTTTTCTTATTGGTCATCCCGGTCCCTACCGCCATAGTTGTGGCCGTCCTGTCGGGCAACCGCGTGCAGCACGTGCTGGTGACGATCATGGCCTTTGCCCTGCCCCTGGCGCTGCTTGCGGCGGCCCTTCACCCGGCCTCAGCGTGGCTGCTCCGCCGGCAGCGCACGCCCCTGCAGGACGCTCACCAGGAGTACCTGAGCAAGATACGTCTTGCTGGGCCGTCTGTGGAACGGCGAGACCATCCGAAGGATCACGGCATCGCCGCAGACGCCTTGTTCGAGTTCTGGGAGCACTTCCAGCGCTTCTTGCTGGACCGCAACATGCATTTTGTGGTTTCCAACATCGTCCTACCACTGACAGCCAAGAGAAAAGTGTCCTTCGTAGACCTCCTGGGCAGCCGCCGCGTCGATTTTTTCGTGTCCCACAGCTGGGGGACGCCGTTTCAGCATTTCGTGAAATGCATACGACGCCATGCAAGCTTTGCGAGGGCACCTGATGCTGCGTATTGGATATGTTCTCTTGCCAACAATCAGTGGGACGTTGAGGGCGCCCTTGGAACAGATGTCATGGAGAGCGCCTTTGCCCGTGTACTTCTGGCAGGTGTCCGGGGCGTCGTCATGGTGCTTGA